AGTGGCGGACTAGTCAACAATTGTGTGAAACACACCTCGGGACAATAGACCACCGCGCACGGTGCGCGCCCACCAGGAGCAACAAACAACACACCTCGCGACGCGCGGCGACGGACTCGTATTCTGAAAGAAGCTCCGCGCGCGCATCAGGCCGAACGGCGCGGACCCGCTCGGTCGCGCTCGCCGTCGCTCGGACACACTCGGTCCGCGCGCCACGCGCTCGCCGCTCACTCGGTCGCCAACGGCCGTTGCAACAGGTTGTTGTTAGTTACAAACTGTCAATCGAATCATCCGTTTCGAAAAAGGAGTTTACTGGGAAAATCTCATTCGCGCCGCTGACAAACGGTGTGCCTATTTTCTTTTTAATTTGTTTTCCTAAATACGAGTTTTTTTTTGTGCATATAAAATAGGTTGTCTCTAGAAACTGTGATAGAAAAAGTTTTTTATTGTCAGTTTGCATTGAATTTTTTTTAGATTTTTTGTATTTTTAAAAGATTAAATAAAATTTTTTAAAGATTAGATTTCCGAATAGAATTAGGTTTTAATCGTAATTTTAATTATATTCACGTAAAAAATGAGACTGCGAATTCAGTATAATGCAGATTCAATTTGACATATAATTTTACAAGGTTTCGTTAATCCAATTTTCAGGAAGTTGACAATGTTAACATACTTCTTTCATGTCTCAGCAAGACTTCTTATTTATACATTATTGATTGCGTTTATATTCTATGTTGAAGAATTAGTCATTTATTTTTGTAATGATTGAGAATGACTTAAAAGTCGAAACGTTTAATTAAGAGAGAAGTCGTTCAGTCTTTTTATAATTATATTGAGAATAATCCAAAAGCAGTGGGTGGAAACATTTAATTACCTTTAATTAATATTTTTAATAAAAATTTTACATGTTCACACGCGCGAACTGTATTGGCTCTTCACATACTTACAGTTTTGAAATTTTAATTTGTCTCTCTTTCTTTTTTATTTTATTCTGATGATAGTTGCAGTCCATACTAATTATGCAATCACATTTAGGATGCTATATTTTGTAATTCTTAAAAATATTATTATTGAACGATCATTGTTAAATAATTTTTAAAAAATAATTTTGATGGATTATCAAAATAATTACATATATCAGTCAAGTATAATGAACAATGAAAAAATTTAAATATTCCAGTAGTTGGAACATACTACATAATTATTTTTATAGTGCAACAAAATTATTTTCATATTTATATCTAGTTAAATTTTTAGATATTTTTACAAAACCGTTCTTTCTTTTTTTTTGTTCTATAATAACAAAATAGATAATTTTATTAACATTTTCTTTTCCGCACCACACGGAATACAGGAGATCCGAGTTCAAATCTCAACCGAGGTAATATTTTTCACAATAAGTTCTTTATTACATTTACATTTTTAAAATGCTAACAGCATCAAATTAACGAACTAATTAAATTTGAAGAATATATCATTAATATTTCTGATTGATTTTGTTGAAAATACAAAAGTAATCTGTTAGCAATCATTTCTTAGATAATAAATTTACTTAAAATACACATATATGTATCAATTTAACATCTAACTTTAACCGTAATTGGCGGTTTTTATCTTATCGTTAACTTTTCGTTTTTAATCTTAATAATTTATTATCTTTTTATGAATAAAAGAAAAGGAAAAATTGTTCACTAAAGATAATCGTTTGATAATATTGTTAAAAATTATAGAATAGAGCTCTCTTTTGTCATTAAAAATTTTTAAATCATCGCAAAAAGATTTGCTATGAAAGGGATTACAAAATTGTCGAATTTATTTGATGAATTGTTTATAGCGAACAAATTTACATATTTGATAAATATTTTGCACTTGTTGCAAATGATTTTTGTAGCAAATATGAAAAAGAATAAATATTTGTTACACCTGGAAATAATTTGCGATTCCTGTATTTGCAAATGGAATTTACCGTTATAGTGTGAATTAGCGTTCATAGCAAAATTTTTCCCTTCGCAGTCTTTTTCTTAAAAATTTATAATAACAAAAACGAATCAGTTCTATTCTGTAATTTTTAATAATCAATAATCGTCAATGAACAATTTTTCCTTTTCTTAAAAAATTGATATAATTATAAAATCATCATTATTTAAACTTTAGTCTGTAATTCGTATCCGATTTCAAGATAGAATTTTATTTATAATTATGTTTATTTATAATAATGTAGGCTATGCATTTAGGCTATACATATGTATTTTAATATGTAGGAGAAACTTGTGGTATCTAGGAACATGTACTTTTGACACATTAATTATTTTTTCAACAATAACAATGAAGTTTTTAATGTTAGTTGCTCAATTATATTTAGTTGAAAAGTAAGGAATTATTAATATAATTGAGCAATCAATATTAAAAATTTTGTAATTGTAAAAAAATAAATATATCCCAAGGTACATGTTCCTGGATAGTATAATTTCTACTATTCATATACCTTTTTAATTATGATGCTTCGAATGCTTTTTCATATTACACGACACATAAAATGAATCATCAACATATAAAATTATAAGTAGAATTCTATCATAACATTGGACACTAATTACGCGAATCGGTTTGATTATTCCATTGACTAAAGAAGAGATATATAGAATTTTATGCCTTGTTATATAACTGTCAGATAAACAGGCGATATATTAAGCGTATAATAATAGAGATTTAACGAGCGTCCCAATTCAGCAGTTACGTCAAAATATGGATTTATGAGATGCAACGTACTATCTTACACTTGCGAGAAGAGAGAGATGTATTTACGAGATGATGTCCTAGAGATTTCCTACTTGTCATTACAAACAAGTAATAACGATAACGAGTGATGATGAATGATGTAAGCTATTTTATATATATATAATATATATATATATATATATATATACTATTAAGTAATGGAATAAATAAATTTCCCCTCTTAACGTAATATTCATGCAGTAAATTATAAGTTTTATTTTCAATTAACAATAATTTAAAAAAATTAGATAATTGGCGTTAACAGCTATTGATAACATTTTTATGACCTTATATAACGTGTGATTACGATGCGTACTTCGTATGTTTATGTAATTATATTCAAGGTACTGCATAAATCATTTAATCATTAAATTTCAAGCGACAAACTTCAAAAAGATAGACTTGACTTATGTTTGTCGCTTTCTCCCCCCCCCCCCCCCCCTCTCTCTCTCTCTCGTTTTTATTTGTGTATTTTTGTTTTATTCTATATTATTTTGATTATTTTTTATTACTGCTTTTTTCTCATTTTTTTCTGATTTATTATTTTTTATGTTCTTAAAGGACTTGTCCTAGAATATTAAACATCTTTTCTTTCCTTACGAAAAAATACACCGAACTAGGCATTAGTGGTCCAAAATAACACTTAAATTAAGTGTTAATCTTCAAGATGGAGGTTTATTTGGAAGTTAATACTCAATTTAAGTCTCATTTCGGATTGCTAATGCCTAGTTCAGTGTATTTTTTCGTAAAGATTATCTGTTTATCTTTCTAAAAACTCGCAAAATTAAAAAAGAGAAAATCCTTAAAGGTAAATATTATATTTGTTACAAAGAAAATAATAAATATACTGCGTGGATCGCAACATCCTAAAAAAGCTTCCAGTCATCTTTTTTTTCTACTGCTGTAGCGACGTTATAACTTATCTCCTTTTTCTTCATTTTTTTCTTCTTTATAATAACTTATCTTTATTTTATAAAATAAAGTGTGTTAATAAGATAATAAAGTGGAGTAATACACAGCGACAACGAGGCTTACATCAAATATCTATGCCATATAATCTGAAAATTAATGTTTGATAAGAGCAAAGGAGTAAAATGCAAATACTGATTATCGGCGTCGAGAAAGAGAGATTACAAGCCCGATAGTGCCGGTTGCATGTTACGTGTCATGTAATTCTTTTTTAAAGAACGACAAAAGTTTGATCGCAGCTATCTGGATTGATAAACTTAGATACTGTTTCAAAAACGGAGAAAAATTCTCGTTTATATATCGCACTAATATGTAATAAATATTATTGCGTGTTTACTTTATACAATAATTTGATCAATAAAATGATAATATTAATAAATCTTTTGCAATTAATGTAACACTTTAAACTCTTTTTAGCTTGTCTTATAAGTGAAGATCTCTGACTGTTGACTTTTAACCTCCTTATTCCTCAAAGCAATGAATAATCCTCAATTGATTTGATTTATATTTTACTTCGGTGGAATTAAGGTCTTTGAATGTCTATATTACTGAAAACATAATTTGAAAAAGTTAAATCCTTTTTTTTGAGAAATCTTGCAGACGAACAAACGGAAAAGCAAACAAAGATTGATAAACAGGTGAACAGCTGAATCAACACTGTGATTATAAAGTAATTTGTTACGCCACATTATTTAATAAACACTCTAAATTCTATATACATTGAGAGAAAAATATTTAATATTTGTTGACTATAATTGCATGATAAAATAATTATGATTATGAGAGGTCCCTTTTATTACTGTTATAATGTTAGTAATAATAATTATATTTATAATTTATATATTGTACAAAAATGTATATGATTCACAGTTATTTAAGGTACCACTAAATATTTTATATTTTAGTATATAAAATTGTAAATATAATTATTATTACTAACATTATAGCAGTAATAACTATAAAAAATATGTACGCTCGGCATATATTGATGATTTCTCATATTTCTAAAATAATACAATATAATGTAAATATAATATTATAGAATGAAGATTTAATTATAATATTTTAATTATATATATATCTCTCTCTCTCTCTTTCATTATTGATCTTTTTTTTTATTATTTACGATTATATTTTTGATTATATCTTTTTAGATTAGATCTTTAATTAGAATATATTTTTTATTTCCCAATTTATAGTTGCACGAAACTATGACAAAAACTTTGAAAAGAAACAAATCTTTCTTATCGGTGGTGCACATCTCTCTTAGCTTTGAATTTCTGTTTTATCGAGTTGATAATGGATCAGAGAGACAAGTACAAAGTTCAGATATATAATAGATCTAATTGTAACTTCCATCTTTCACCCGATATTATGTATTCCGTGCTCGTGTTACAGATACGAGACACTCCTCGGCCTAGTTGCAGAAGCAGATCTTATATTTGGTAAGTGCGATCTATCGGTGTCATTGAACTAGAGCTTGTCGGAGCAACGCAATCGGTTGAAATAATGCAGAAGGTAGGAATAGCAGTAAGGAATATTTAGGTGGGACGTGCGCGACTGTACACGTGTACGTCGTAGAAGCGCGCGAGCGAAGAATATCCATTACATAACGATGCCTAAATGTTTGCGTCGATGCTAATTTACGATTCTTTGTTCCGAGCTTTGTAAAGCTTTCCGTTGCAATGCGCAATTGGCGTTATGAAAATTGGATTATTTCGATCGCAACGAAAGATTTATACCGATCGATTCTAGGTTCCGGCAACGAATTATATTTATATTTTATCTATAAATTGATAATAGCCTCGCTATCCTTCTCATGACAATTGATCAAATCGACTGTAATGTTTGATATGAAATGGCCGTTTTACTGGAAGCAAAACTTACATTAAAACTCAATTCATCTAAAATTAAATATTTTGTGTTTTTTTGGAACGTAGCCAGAACAATATTCCATTTATCATTGCATGAATTTTGAAGCTATTTTTCTAAAGTCGTACTGAGAGAAAAGTGTTTGATATTTTTGTGACTTTAATTGCATGAAATAATTATGATTAAATGCTCCATTTTTACAGTTATTACTGCTATAATGTTAGTACTAATAACTATATTCATAGTTCTATATATAAAAAAGCAGTAATAACTATAAAAACGGATTTCCTATATATAATTATTTTACCATGCACTTATTACATGCACTTATATATAATCACAAATGCCAAACTTTTCTCTTAGTGCACGAAATGTGCTTCTCAAATAAAACGGTAAGTTGATTCTTTTATTTAAATCGGAATTTATGTTTTTAACATTGATTATTTAAAAAACGAAAGAATCCATGTACTGAGATAAAGGGAATGAATAACGATATTCACTTTAAGTATTCTGAAAATTACAATTCTGACGTTGAATCCTGTTGAATATATAACGCGCGAAACTATTAAATGCAAGCGTATATACAAATGAGATTTCTCCATTGCAACAGGTGCAAATACCAGACTCATATTAAGACCTCAAGCCATTCAAACCGCGATGTATTAAAAGCTTAAGGCTTGCATACGCCGCGAATGTCAGGCCAATGAAAATTAAGTCGATAGCGCACCGACGCCAAGAATCCTCGTAATCCTAAGAAACAAGATTCAAAATAAGACTTGATGAGAAAAAAGAAAAGTATTTATTTCAAACATCTCTCCATTTATGGTATTCAAGAGCACGATATTTGTTGTCCTACACGAAAAAAACGACTTTGCTGAAGTACTTATCTAAAACTTTAGTTGAAACCAGATCTAAAAATAATTTTGTTGAATCATCAAAATAATGATGTTGAACGCTCAAGCAAATGAAAACATTGCAAAAACAATAACAATTTAATCTAGACCGTTATACGAATAAATTGAATAAGTAAGAAAAAAACCAATACACTGTCTGTTGAATCTGTTTTGGTGAAATATTTAAAAATAACTTTGTTGAATCATCAAAATAGTTATGTAAGAATCTCAAGCGCGAGCAATGTTGCAAAAAATTTTGACATACTAACAGCCATTTTGAACGTCCTAGTTATTTTTATCGTTCGACAGAATTATCGACAGTTCTGTATCTGTCTACATTTTTAAGTACTTCAACAAAATCATTATTTTATATGTATTAGTAAAATACATCTACAAAACAAAAAATAATCATGTAGAATATTCAATTTGTTCACTAAAATGTCAAAACTTTTTGCAGTATTATTATCATACTTCAGCATTCTACATAATTATATTGATAGTTCAAAAAAATTATTTGCAGATCTATATCCAACTGAACTTTTAGATATTTCAGAAAAATTTTCGTACACGAAACCAGATTTTGACACTAAATAATATTATTTTTTTGTAAATTTTAAATATATCTTTCAGTTATACAGAATGCCCCGAAATTCGCAAATCAGAATAATACAGCAAGGAAGTTTTCAAAAAATTAAGTAAAAGAAGTATTTGTGAATTTTTATTTTAAACAGTAGTTTTCGAGATATAATTAAGAGTTTAAATATGGCCAATTACAGACTACGTAATTTTAGACTTACGTCAATAGTCAGTTGTCCATGAATCGCGTGTGCGATAGTTTAGTAAACGCACACTTTAACGTTTAAAAGTCATCTGTCTAAATGTAATCCATAATTGATTACATTTAAAACTCTTATTTTTTCACAAATTGTTGCTTAAAATAAAAATTCATAAATAACTTTTTTACTTAATTTTTTTGAAAACTTTCTTATTGTGATAGTCTGATTCCAAGTTTCGAGACACCCTGTATAAACTGCAGCACGTTGCTTACTGTCGGACTTGAAACGCAATCATAAATTGAAGCTAAAATAATAACATTTGTCACAATTAAACTGATTGTCGATTTGATAACGATCTTGCTGGTCATCATAAAACACTATAAAGAACTTATTGCGAAAAATATTAGTGCTGTAAAAAGTTCTGACATTTTAACAATCAGCTTGAGTGTCCTACATAATTATTTTGATCTAACAAAATTATTTTTGGATCCGTATTTTTAGATAGCTAAATTTGTAGATACTTCCCTCAAAGCCATTATTTCTGTGTAAAAAATTCGCGCGCACTTTACTTATACAGAACTGTTTATTTACGAAAACATCAATCTTAATGGTAATTACTATAGACAATCGCGCGTCATTCAGTGCATTAACCGCGTGATGAAGATTAATTACGCTCCAACGGTCACGGTATCGCGCGACGCACGCTTCAAAATCATCGTTTCTCATACGCGGTAAAATATCGAGGGTCGAAATCCGTCGAAATCGGAACAGCCGCGTCGATCGTGCGAAAAAGCCATCGTTAAAATTTTAGGTGCGCAAAGACACGCAGCCGAGAGATGCTAAATACGTCGTCTCTTTTACGGCCGTTTTTACGATTGTTTCAACGTAGACCACGATTTCCTCATGCTCACGGATGTGAGCCGAATATCAAAGCAGAAGAAATCGCTGCTATCTGTCTCTGGTGCAATCGACCGTCCGAAAGTAAAAGCGACCGCACTTGCTCCTTACGATTTATACCGTGCTCCCGCCCGAAAGAATTTACGATTCCTTTTTATTTCTTCTCTGACGAAGAGAAAGAAGGTTATGCAGTTTACGATATGTTTATTGAGATAAAATCTGAGTATAACAGACTCCAAAAGCAATGGTAGATAAATAAAATTTCATAGCTTGGATATTAAAAAGATGATAATAAACTTTTCACTATTAAATTCATAATATCAAATTACACTCAATTTACATTATATTTAATCATTTCTATAAATCGCCATTGTTCCTACTTAATACGCCGTTAATTTAATTAAAACAATGGAGTTAAATAATTTTCACACAGAATCGTAGAAGCATTTAAGATCCAGCTAGACCATTTAAGGCTTTGATTGCTATAGTTTATGTTATCATATACATATGTACGGTCCTATAATATATTATATTGTTTAAATAATCTAAATCAAAAATATGTATAAAATTGTTGTCATTATTTCTTTAATATCTAACAATATTTCAAAGATTTCTCGTTAATTTTTATTATCTTCTTCAATGTTACCCTTGGCGATAGTATATGTATATTTATATTTGATTTTTTTATGATCTTTTTCGAAATTTCTGCTTGCTTTATTGTTTATTATAATTTTTTTACTAATATAGATACATATATTTAGTTATGATATATCATTCTTTGTCTTTCAATTGAAAAACAATCATTACAATATATTCATTTTTATAAAAGCTGTAAGCAATCAAAATTTAGATAAAATCCGATAAATATAGACAGACTCTAAAAGCAATGTTAAATAAATAAAGTTTTATGTCTTGAATATTAAAAAATTGGTAATAGCCTCTTTACTGTTAAATAATGTCAAATATACTTAATTTGAGTTATATTTAATCAAGTTATGTTTTACAAGTCGCCACTGTTCCTATTTAATATGTTATTAATTTAATTAAAACAATATAGTTAAACTTTGAGGTATACTACTGAACGTCGAAAATAATCACGAACTTGCCGCGTTTAACACAATATTTCATTACACCTTATGATGCTCTAGAGGTACTGAATATCTCATGGCATTGGCAACAAAAATCCATAATCGGGAATATATGCTGATGAATACATCGCGCAAATTATCGCAGACCGGTATCTGACTAAAAGCACTTTGTCTCTCTTCCCATCGATGAATGCCGCGGATATCTACTTTATTCCACGAAACGTGCGTCTGATCCATTATTCAAAATGAAGAGAGTTGCTGTTAAGCCAGCTGGCGAACGGCATCGCAGCCGTTTCGACAGGCTCAAATATTAATCCACTGTTAGTTTTTTTTTCGAGACTTCCGCTACTTAATAGTATCGCATCTACGTACATACGAATCGAGACTTGCTGATGAAATCGAAAGAGCGATATCCGTAGGAGAGTCAGATAATATTAAAAATTGATAAGAAAAAAAAATTAGTTTGTTAGTTATATCTTTATATTAAAAATTTGGATAAAGGATATTTATTTTGCAATTGAAATTATTGAAATGTATGCTATTTTGGGAATTGAAAAAACAGATTTTTTTTACAAACATTGTATTTTTGTTCCACAAAATAAAAAAAAATTGAGTCTTAGAGAGTTAAAATAATTTTGTAGATGGTTCACAACGAATATATCAACGAAGGGTTAATAATATTTTAATCATTCTAATTGTATCAATATTCATGTGTCAATCAATATTAATAAAATCATACGTAAAGATCGATTTTACTGATATATCTAAAAAGCTATAGATACAGGTTTGAAAATAATTTTATTAGATTATAAAAATAATTTTGTAGGACTCAAATTGCGCCGTAAAAAAATATATAAAATTATATAAATAATATATAAAATTACATAATTTGTAGTGAAAATGTATTAAATTGTGTGTT